TTTCAAATAGATGAATAGTTTCTTCTTAACCGTTTGAGTGCCAAGCTTCGCTTGTTCCGTGCCAAAAAATGACACGCAATTGGCTCAGAAGGGAATGGTAAAAAGTGGATGGTAGAGTTGCTCATCCAGACTATGTTTATTCGAAAGAGCATGAAACGAGGAGTTTTGGGTGCCATTGGCAACGGGTGTAAATGATCACAAAAGTGCAAGTTGCATCACACGTGCAATTTTCCCTGAAACTCATCTTAATTGTTAGTAAACATCATCTAATCATCTCAAATTCATGCCTTTGTCACTTTTACACTTAATTTTCACTTCATATTTCGATTTCTCATGTTTTCTAATCATCTGCACTTAAAAATATGAAAATTTCAAAGTTCCATAACTTTTGAACCCGTTGCTAATGACACCTAAAAATTGTGCCATAAACTCTTCGTTTCATGCTCTTTCGAATAAACATACTCTAGACGAGCAATTCTCTTGTCAGTCGACCCAACTATCGGTACATTTAACGTTAATGGCAAAACAGTGTTAATGTTATATGTTTAGCAAGCTGACTATCTTAGAGTGAAAATAATTGAATAATTAATAAAACTGTAAAATTAAATGACAGAGTTACCGCGCTGCATAACGTATTTTGACATGAAATAGAAGAAACGCGATCATTTTTCAACCGGATTTTAGAAAAAATTTGCGGCACTCAAATAGTTAATGCATTATCTATGTACCACCTATTAAATGAAATAGATTAGTAGGAATACACTCTCGATGAAATTAGTCTTCCCTAGGGAGAATGGAATGGCTTCCTTTTCTTCGGGCTTCGGTCTGTTCCCGTAGGTATCCACGGGGAAAATAACAAAGTAGTGAAGAGGGCCTCATATATGTATATAGATCTGTGGGAGCCATTTACGTGGGAAAATTTGAATTAATATTTACTTTGTTATTTATACCTTTTAATAATATTTAGTAATTAAAAATCATATGATTTTGTTTCTAAATCACTTTTAATATTAATGTCGTCAAAATTAAGATTTTGAGAATATTTGCTTCTCCTATCGCGCCATTAGGATTTGTTTGGGAGTATATGTGAAAAGGTCCTCACATGGTACGTGACGGTTTTTAACTATACATCATTAACGCATTAAATGATTATCAAGAAAAAAAAGAAAATTATTCTAAACTTTTACGTATTCCTCAGTCAATTATGTATTATATATGAATTCTACTCTTCAAATTGTAATATCTGATTGCTACATTGAAATAATTTGCAAGTTCGCGAGTGATTGATGAGAAAGTAATTATATGAATTATTATTAAATACAATTAAGGCATTAATAATATATATTTGCTGTTAGTTAAAATGAAGATTGAAAATTTATAGTATTTTATAAATTTTATTTAACTGAAAATAAATCATAGGTGTATCGTTTTTTAATTCACATGTGCATTTAAATTCAAATAAAATAGATATTTATAGTGAAATATAATTTTTCATTTTTATTTATTATTATTATTTTGATAAGAGGGTAGTTGGTAATAATAAAAATTTAAGAAAGAATTATATGAATATCTTATGTTTGAGAAACACTGCTTTATAACTTAACTGTAACTAAAGATTAATCTTCGATCAGCGGACCATGGAGAGTGATCCAATTTTAATTTAGTGTAATTCCGTATTTCATATTATTTTCATTTCCTAAATTTGACATTGTTTCTCTAAAAATTCTTTTTCTAATATATCGAAATTCTTTCGTTCACAAATTATACATTCATCATTGTACAATATGTTTTGTAAGTTTGAGTCTCGATTGACCCAGGCTCTGCTGTTCAAGGGTTAAAAAGTATAATCTTTACTTTCAGTTTCCTTTTGATTGAAGTACACTTAACTTTTATTATTTCCACTGAGTTGTACGTTAATTTATAATAAATCAAAAGATTAACAATTGGTTTCACGTCAACAACTGATGGTGTCAGAAAGCCTATTAATAGGTTTCCCGTAAGTAACGTGTCAACGTATTTGTTTTCATGTTGCACCATGCATTAAAACCTTAAAATCGTGAAAACTTCAAAAATTTGAAGTATCTATTTCACGAATTGTTTATGATTTTGATATTACACTCTAGTATTTTTATACACAGAATATCGCGTACAATGGATGTGTGCAAAAAAATATGTAGTTCCATTAAAAAAGAAAGATTACAGTTATAAATATTTCAAATTTTTGTATAAAATATCTCCCTTTTGAATTGAAAATATTTCAGGAAATATTGATTTTTTACATTGAACTCATATTTTTTTACACAGAATGTTTCGAAGGATTGATATAGGTTAAAAAAAATATACAGTTCCATATTAACCTTGAAATCTTTGAAAATCTTTAAAACCTCCTCGATACACTTTCTTTATAATGATTGTAAAGTTATCATCTAATTTTGTATAAGGGAGGATTTTACCCCCTGAACATTGACTCTTAAAAAATCGAGTGATAAAATTAACCCTTTCGGCCCTGGATTTTTTTATACTCACTCAGAAAAGAAATTTTTCTGGCACAAAATATTGTTCATAGCTGCCATAAAAACTCCCTTGTCAAGTTTAAACGAATTTTCACCATAGACGTGAAAACCATGGTAATTGTCACCATTAGGTCTATTACAGGTGTAACAGCGCTCTAAGTACAGTAGACATTTGTTATATTGCCGTGGACAGGGTGTAAAGGCGGGAAATGGTTCAAGTTTCAGGTCCATACTTTCAATTGGAGGGGAAAGGAAGATAAAGGGGTATCATTTTCATAGGCCATGATGATGGAAGAGTGGCAATAATATTCTTGAAAATCGTATGCAGGAGAAATCGTTCACGTGGCAATATAACGAGAGTGTATTGTTCAAGATCGTGGTTTGGAATCTATAATAAACGAAACTCTCAGTATATTTTCTTTTCTATGTTATATTTTAATTATCATGTAGTATTATTTGAACTTTGGTACGTGCAGTTATTTGAAGAAGGTAGTTTGCTGTGGTTACGTCTTCCATTGAAAAAGAAGGACCTAAATAAGTAGAATTTATGTATTAGAAACAGATTCATGTATTCCAATTAAAGTTCAAGTATGAATTACGTTCATCCTTCTTGTTTTCATTAAAATGTACTTGCACGTTTCTCACAATTAAATGCTAAAAATTACTCATTAAATCAATCTTAATACTTTTAAATAGCTGTGAAAAGCGTCCAATTAAACGTTTAATGATCGAAGCAATTATTTGCTAGAATTAATAACATTCATTTAAAGCCTAATGATACTCTGAGTGCGTACTGTAACTTTTTGGAGTATGAAGTTTTTACTATTTACTCCAAATAGAATAGATTCGTTATTTGGATATTTTTCTTTTTAAAATCGTGTAATCGTGATTTTTGTATGACTAGAATTTTACGCATAGGTTTCAATTAATTTTCAACTATGTGGATCTTGTGGAAATGAGGATCGTCAATGATAATTAAAACTTACATGTATTAGTAAAATTAAGTTACACACCTTTGATTTCTTTTATTGCATCGCTAAATGAAAATCAGTACCAAGAACAATAAAAAGGATAAATCTTTAAATCTAGCGTCACTGCTTCAAATGAAAACAATTCCAAAATCTATAATTTCATCTATCTTAATACACTCTCGATCAAATCAGACTTCCCCAGGGAAAATGGCGATATAGGGAAAGCAGGAATTCTGAAAATCATAATTTTAACGTTATTAATATTAAAAATAGTTTAAAAACAAAATAATATGATTTTTATTTATTAAACGCTATAAAATTTAATATGTAACTGGCAAATGCAAATAACAAAGTAAATATAAATTCAAATTTTCTCACGTAAACGTTTATATGCAAGTGGTAGATCGCTGCAGACATCATTATCGTCATTATCCTCGGGGATGCCTACGGAGAGGAGCAGGAGTCGAAGGGAGGGTGAGAACCCGTCACCCATTTTCCCTGGTGGAAAACAAATTATTTTTGACTTCTATCTGTACCATTAATACAAAAATTCTGCCGTGAAGAAAGCAAAGCTATCGATTTATAGACAGTTTTTAAGGACCCTCTAACAATATTGTTTTCCTAAAAGTGGCAAACAGTCAGTTTTGTCCTTTCTTGGAGAACGCCTCAACATTATTTAATTTAACAATGATTGCAAGGTGATTTTGACCAAGCTACTGAAATAAAGTATGCAAAATCTAGAATTTCGAACAACACGAAAATACTTAACTAGATATTAAAAATACCGAAGCACCTGTATTTAATAGAATTACTGATGAAAATAATTAAATGAATAAAATAAAAAATAATTTAGTTACTCAAGGTCGTCAGTAGCTTTATTTAGATATATTTATTTGGCAAGTTTTTATTTTTTACAAAGATTATTATAAAGAAGATTTTAGAATAAAAATTTTAAATAAATAAAACTAATTATAAGTTATTTGAAAATAGCGAATAATCCTTAAAATTAAAGGTATTTAATTAAATGAGAAATTATTTGTTATTTTTTATGAACTTGATATATCTTTAAATAAAAATTTCAAATACAACCAAATTAATTGGCAATAATCAATAATTGTTAATTATTGCATCTAATTAAATGCATCTGCACCTCTTTGATGCTAAGTGTTTCAAATGTAGTGGATTCACGTTATATTGTCGCAGATAGGGCTGCAACAGGCTGAAGGGACGGAAAATTTTTCAAGCTTTCAAACTTTCAGTTAGAAAGCAAAAGGAAGGAGAAAAATGTTATATTTTCGTAAGCTATAATCGTGAAAGAGTGGCACTAGAATTTAATCAGAATCACGTTTAATCAAAATGATAACATAAAATAATTAGTGACATTTTCAGTAATTGAAATGATTCACTCTCAACCATTCAAATTGCTAACTTTCATTTATCCTCTTCCTCAAATGTCACTATAAAGACCAACAATTTTTTCCAAATTAATAATCAATGACATTTCATTTTTCCCTAGGTGACAGACTCGAAGGATCTGCAGGTGCCATTCAGCACAGCGGCATCTTTGGGTTACGGTTTACATCATATGCTTCATTTACCACCACAATTCTTGCACCCCTTGGATCACCGTTTACCGTTCGGAGGGTTCAGGCCGCTCGGGCCATCGGCCTTTGCTCCACCCAGCAAGTGTCTGAAGGTGGAAACCGGAAACGGGCCGGTGTCTGGGTCCGGATTGCCGAGCATCAGCTCCCTTTCCAGCATGTCGAACATGTTCTCGCCCTCCTCGTTGTCTTCTGCCAGCGGAGGCGGTGTCGTGTCCGTTTCCGGAGCATCAGCCAGCATCGGAGGCGTTGGAGGAGGCGCGGGGAACACCGCTGGGGGACAAGAGGTAGCACCTCAGAGCCCGGCTGGTTCAACCAGCCGATCGCCCACGGGCACGGTAACCGGAACAGGAACCGGATCGCTTCCCAATCGTGGCGCGACTCCCGAGGACGAGGATCGTGACACGAACGCTACCCCCGGATCGGAGAACACCGAACGCTCCACACCTGAAGAAGGACGGCCGTACAGACGTAAGTTTTTATTTTATTTTTTATTTTCTTTATAAGTAAGAATTTATTTTTAATATCGTCAAGGACTCAGTTTCTGATCACTTAAGAGTAACTATTGCGGTTTTTTCAAACCAAATTCGATACATTTTGTTTTATCTTTGATTTTATATTTAGAAACGTAGCTACAATAATAACAATAATTAGATTGTAGTTTAACTTGCCAACTGAAAAACGCAAAAGGAATTTGTTCTAAATAAGTTATTTAGAAATAAATAAAGTCTTTGTAATTAGTTGGTAAGAGTAAAAATGTTTCGAATGAATCTTTATTACGATAAATTCAGTGTTTCTCTCGTAAATGATAAATATATATAGAAAGATTTTACAAAAGATTTTACTGTTTTTTAATATAACAAATTTTATATATCTACAATATTTTTTTTTTTTTTTAAATGAAGATTATTATTATTTTAAATAGAATTGTATATATTTTTCTTATGTGGATGGATTCTTTGGAATATTCTGCGTTAAAAAGTATTAGGGTATAATGTTAAAGAAATCAAGTGTTTTTATAGTACCTATTTCAAATTTTTTATACAATTTTTCATTTTTATAATTTAACCCTTGCACTGCGGAGCCTTGGTTAATCGTGACCCAAACTTACACAACATATATATATTATAAGAATATTAACCTAAAGTTAAATGTATAATTTTTAAATGAAAGAGTTTCGTATATTGGAGGCCTTTTCAAGATCTGTCGTCTTGGGGCTCTCGGCATGGTCCGCCGTTCGAGGGTTCAAATATCTCACAACTCGTCAATTTTATTTTATGTTGAATTTTGATAAAACTTGATTAGTATAAAAAAAAAAATTGGAATACAGTATTAACAAATTAGCACTTTCTAAGATCTCATAAATTTATGAATGAAATATTTCATACAAAAATTTGAAATATCTCAGGAATTATAAATTTTTAAAATATTATATCCTAATATAATTCGTACGAAAGAAATAATATAGTTCAGATTAGAATCATTAGTTTCCAATTTGTACCTCCATTTATAACAGCTTTAATACCCCTTTTCGAGTATCTTGAAATAAACGTGACAATTATGCGATCATTTTTCACCGCTGTGGCAACAATGAAACGGTATGTCTTAGTTTAATAACGCAGCCGGTCGGTTTCATGATTTTTAAGTTGACAAAGGCTGTGTATACAAAGAGAGCAGCTGAAACATATATGTATATATAGGAATTTGCAGAGGAGGAACCGCGGAGATTTGTATGCTTAATCTACCTAAGTCGTTTATTTGAATTCTCTAGCGAAGGGGGTGGGTACGGGGTCGTGCAACAGCTGTGTCGCATCTGAAGAAGACTCGCGGCAGGGTTTGTTTCCATGTGTTTGCTTATTTTTCGTTACAATCTTAATTACCGAAAAATTGAGCCATTCATTTCTCTTGGGCCACGATCTCTTTTTCTTTCTCGCTGTTTATCGAGCATTTTTCATACCTGTCTCCGGGCTCGCCCTCGAAGAACCGTCGACTAACAGTCCGCTTTGTAAATTCTCTCTTGTTAAAACCGAAAAAAGCATGTAGCGGTCGAGAATTTTTTTTTTTTTCATGCGCTTCCTTCTCTGCCGCGGCTAATTTTCGTTTGATTGCGAGAGGCGAGGGAAAAAAAGAAAGGGTTGAAAAGTGTGCAACCTTGGCGTCAAGCTGCTTTTTAGTTTTTTGTTTTTCTTTCTCCAATGGCCAGCGCCTGGGTAACGATGTCCTTTGACTGTGGCAAACTCTGTGACGTTAGCCATCTGCTAATTAGTACCTACGTATTCGCTTTGTGGTGGTGGTGGGTGCGCGTTAAAATAGAAAGGACACCGATTGCGTGAAATTTTCTTTCGGCGGTTTCGAATCAAAGCTTTATTTCACAACCTCTGTTGAATCTTTTCTGTCTTATTTCATTGTTACTTGTTTCATGTGTTTTTCTATAGCCGATACTTAATACTCAAATATCGGTAATAGATTATTAATGCGTCAGTTTCTCTGATTTCTTTTTTTTCAAAGAGTTAAAACATTTAAAAAAGTGTGGCAAATAATTTTAAGTATTTTTAATTATGGGTATATTAAAACTAATTCTAAAGCTAACCTAAAGCTAACCATATAAACTAGTGATAAAAAATTTAATTACTTTCAACTAAGTGCTGTAGTTTCTAGTTACATTTTGGGTAATTACCTAGTTACCAACTAATAATTTAAGTTACTCGAAGGTAACTAGAGAAACTTGTTACTTGAAAATAACTGGAACCAATTAATTTTTGTTATATTTTTATAACTATACTATGAGATACATATTAAAGTAAAAAAGCGTACCTTTTCTCATTCTGATGGAAACTCAATGAAATAAGACACGCTTTACTTATTTTTAACTAGTTATTTTAGTTATTTTTTTAAATAACTAGTTAGTTATAGTTAGTTAGCTACTGTTCCCCACCTCTAATATAAACGCAAATGAAGTGACAGAAAGTAAACAAACATTTACTTTAATGTTTATAAAATTATACAATTTCTTTTTATCCATAAATAAACATATTTTATCCATATTAACAAATTCCTTAAAAAAAGTGACAAAATTGGGCATGTTTTAGGTGAGGTTAAAGTTCAGTTTTAACACTTTTACTTTGCAATTTACTTGCACATTAGACGAATTTCTAAATAATAAAGGAATTCTAATTTTAATAAAGGATTAAAAGTGTTTAGTCTCAAACACTTTTTAAATTGATATTTTACTTTTTTAAATAACCCTTTTCAATATATTAAAATTTGAAAAAAAATCGCAGATATCGACCAGATAATAAAGTATTACCCAAATATTGATTAACCCTTGAACAGCGGAGTCTAATTAGCCGAAAAGTAAACTTATAGAACATACGAAGATATTAATCTAATGTTAGATGTATAATTTTTAAACGAAAGAGTTTCATATATGCAAAGAGTAATTTTTAAAGAAACAGTGTAAAATTTTTAATTAGGGCACTCTCCATGGTCCGCCGTCTGAGGGTTAATTTTTTTTTTTTTTTGTTTCTGAGAAATGAATGTATTCGTGATTTTAATGTCGTAGTAAAAATGATTACATCAGGTATACTACGGAACACCACGTATAAACGTGAAATTTATAATCGTACATTAATAAAACATTGAAATCGGACTTTTGGTCGATCTGTGTACGGTTTTTTTAATTTGTGGAAATTAATTGCGTAATCGACGTATGGAGTCCGAGAGTTTGCGGGGAAAATGGTGAAATGATCAGCAAATAATTTAATCTGCGTCTGTGAATTGTTCGTGTGTATTTTAAACTGGGTGATGCATCGTAAATGATCGCATGGTCGCTCGCCCTTTTTGGTAGCTGCATCGACCACCAGCTTTCAATATATCGATGTATACTTATGCATAAAATATGCTCATAATCACGATTGACCAAGAATCTTGGTAAATAGTATCATTTACTACTGCATTCGTGAATTTACACTGTCTCTATTTGATCCTGGCTAGCGTAGAAAAATTTGCAACCGAATATTCGTGATTTATAAACATACACCTTTTTATAACGAAAAATTATGACACTTGTAGAATTTGAAAACAAAATATTAATTTTCATTGTAGTATTTAAGGAAGCAGGGAATATTTTGACTGATTGTGAGAAAGAGATACTAAAAATAAATACAAAAATAATATTGGTAGATTATTCATTTTATCTTAATTTATCATTAATTAATTGAAATTAATTCAAATTTTATTTTTTAAACTAAAAAAAATGTTCATAAAATAGTAGTAGTCCATTAATTAATTTCGTAGTCCACCATCCGAGGGTTAATAATAGGTGTAGAAATTCGATACTTGTTTTTTATTTTAATTGAAGATTTATTTTCCGAAAGTCATAGTAACTCAAATTATTAAAATAATCATTATTTCAAATCCAATTTTCAAATTCACCGAAGCGCGGGAAAATATTCAAATTGAAAATAGTGATTAAGAAGGAGTAATGTTAAAGACGTTAAATTAATTTACACGTCTAATAAGTAAGAAGACAAAGTATGTATCGTATCTTGAAACTTTCGAACCAAATAATCCAAAGTTGCATCTTTTTTAATTTTGAAGAAAGCCACGTCTTAAACAATACAAAATATTTTTATATCTAAACAATTTATTTAAATCCAAATGATATAATATTAAAAATTGTACAGAATTATGTAAATTTCTATAATAAGTCATTTATTACTTAATCATATAAATTACCAAAAATCTTCAAATGATTAAATAATAAATAGTGATATAGGAAATCAGAAACCCTATAACGTACCTACAGTGTGTACAATCACGGACTGTTTCAACAGTTTCCGTGTTTTGAATATAAGAATCATGATAACGTTTAAATCTACCACTTTCTGGGAGTCATTATTTTTGCTAGTGTATGAATGTGTGCATTTTCGTGTCGGAACCGAATCGATCGTATTGTAATCGCAAAACAGAGACAAAAAGGAGGAAGGCGAAAGGGTTGGGGAGTGCAGATAGGAGCACGGAAATGCAGATATTTGTCAGGAAATTGATAACTCGAATAAACTCGTCGCAAAACGTTCAAACAGTCTGGCGAACGGGACGATTTTACCTCTTCTCCCGGCGGCGGCAAGCTAAACTGTACACTCGTGTGCTATATTCCCCCGCACACGAGCGAACCTCATGCATGCATATTACCACGATTCGGTATAAAATTTACCGCGTTATCGCGATATACTATTCAGAGAACCGATTGCCCTCGAATTCTCCAGTTATCCACGTATTTTTCGCTAATTCCATTGTGAAACTTTTACAGAAATGTTTGTTACGTTACACTTGATTGCGTATAGATTACCTCGTAACTCTACCATAACTACTCTGTACATTTTTCGTTCCTACCGAATCCAATAACCTGATAATTATTTTCGTATAACGGCAATTGTTTCTCTTCCTTCTTTACATTTATTTTTCTTCAT